GTATATATATATATACACATATATATATACATGTATATACATGTATATATACATATACATACATGTATATATACACATATATATATGTGTGTGTGAGTGTATGTGCTTTTGCAGAGGTAATATGAAGCTTAGCATCACACATATGCTTTGCCATATCATTAGATATAACAGAATACATATTTCATGAGGCTTCTAGTTTACTTTACAATGACCACTCATTCTGTTGGCAGTTTGATGCATTTTTTTTTACATTGCCTTAACAAAGTCACCAAGGATAGTTGCTCATGTATTCAAACTGATTCCTATTATAATATTAATAATCTTCTTTTACTGGTTTATAATATTAAGTTTCAATTTTTTGTCCTGATCTATTGATATTTTTCACAAGAGGCAGCACAACCCATGTCATTTCTACCCATTAAAAATAAGCTTTCCTTGGCCAATTGGAGGTAGATGCAGAAGTAATTAGCCCTCTCTCCCTCACTTGCATTAATGGGAAAATACCTTTCTCTTGGCCAATAGGAATCTCTTCTTTTCAATACCACTTATGTTTAGAGAACATGCAAATAGAAGTATTCTAATATGTGCTAGCAGTGGGATTGGGGATAGTCGGAGCGTTTTCGAATTCCTAACCTGCTCTGGATCATCAAAAGTCTATTCTAGATTCATAATTCTTGGCAGACCAGTGTTGTTGTCATCTACCATGCACTTAAGTTAAATGAGAATAGGAAAGATTGACGCAAGCAGTGTCTTATGCTGAGGAGAACAGATTATGCATTCCATGCAATAGTAGAATAACAAGCATACTGATAAGGCGGATCAGGAGTTATGATTTGTAAGACAGACATAATATTCTCTTTTGAATAGTAGTTGATGTCCAAGGTATCCAGTCCTGCAAACATGATGATATAGTGAAGATGTTTTGTTTTCTAGCCATTTCCAAATATTGGATTGTGCGTTTTTCAGAGTGTAGGCTGTTAGTACCACTATACATGTGTTCCTATGAAGCAATTTTTTGGTTTATTAGAAATATATTAGTTTGATGACATGAAAATACTGTTGTACTTATATGCCCTGTGGTCTCAATCCATGATGTATATGTTATTTAGTCCATGCAATTAGGTATATATATGTGAGGGTGATCATTGGCTGCTTTGCAGCATGGGTATCGATTAATTAGTCTCAAAAATAGCTTTTCCAAACATAGGAGTAAGGCTGCCATGTGACCATTCATAGACACCACATTGGTGGAAAACTCATGCATCAGAATGCTCTTTTTTACTTAAGAAAGAAAATTATTTGCTTTAATTTGTTAGAAATTTTAGAAGTTCTGCTTGATCTTAAAGTTGTGCTATGCGACTGTACAGTATTTGGCCATTCTGATTTATGCAGCACAACCAAGCATATCTTGAAAAGTTTGTTTCCGTTGATATTATTTGGATGTGCTCTGCTGATAATTGCTTTTGAATAGGAACGGATTTCATACTTGAAAGATGAATTTAGCAATGAAGTTGAACTGCTTGCGAAGATTGAGCATAGGAGCCTAGTAAGGTTGCTTGGTTACACTGATAAGGGAAATGAACGCATTATAATTACAGAGTATGTTCCAAATGGTACCCTAAGGGAGCATCTAGATGGTAAGCTTTAAATTCTCTTGTCCTTGTGTTGTTCACTTAAGATGGAGTATGATTAAATCTTCTCAAATTTTCAGGTTTATATGGAAAAATATTGGACTTTAATCAACGTCTAGAAATTGCTATTGATGTTGCTCATGCTCTGACTTATCTCCATCTGTATGCAGGTTAGGCTTCAATATTGATTTTTCTTTTTATGCTTGTTTATTTAATATGTCTAAAATATCGCTTATTTGTATGCTTTATCGTCCATAAGTTACAAACAGATTTAAGAGATTCATATGGTTACTAGCAAGTGCAATTTAATCTTTAATACACACATACTTACTCTTTTTTGGGCCTGACCAGTGTGTACTAGTGTACAGATATATGGTACATTGGTATGTTCTGGCATGAAGGAGAAGAGGAAGGCACGGTGTCTCACATCTTATTGTATTTTATTTAAGTAAATATTAGTGCTACTTAGGATGAAAGCGGTGTGTCATGTAGGGCATCACATTATAACTCAATTATTTAGAGATAAGCTGCTTTAACAGTTTATAGTTTATGATTATAAAGTCAGGATCAGTTAAATATGATGAGGCTTGCATGTTAGAATGATGATGCCTTCTACTGTTCATTCTGCAGTGAGGTTGTCTTGTATGAGGCTGAGGTCTAAATTTTCTAATTCTTGAGCAGCATAATATTATCTACAAACCAATCCACAAACTTTTTATATCTTTTTAGGTTCTGCTCCAAAAAAATGCTCATTACACAAATAATGAAATAAGTATCTACCTAGTTACTGACAGCTGTTCTTTTTCACAATATTCATGAGTGCTTCATGTATCTGCCTCTGTGAAAGCACATGGTGTTAATTTCTACAAATTAGTTGAACAGTGATGAAGACAATGTCTCAATGATACCCATGTTATCTAAATGTAGTCATGCCTTTTGGTTTAGTACCATGCTAGTTGTCTAGCATTTATGCTTGTTGAACATGTGCTGACGAGAATTGATTTGTTGACAGAAAAGACAATAATTCATCGAGATGTGAAGTCATCAAATATTCTGTTGACCGAAAGCTATAGAGCTAAGGTCTCCGACTTTGGGTTTGCAAGGAGTGGTCCATCAGACACAGATCAAACTCACATCTCAACCAAAGTGAAAGGAACTGCTGGGTACCTTGATCCAGAATACCTGAGGACCTATCAACTCACTCCTAAGAGCGATGTGTTTTCATTTGGCATTTTGCTCATAGAAATTATTTCTGGAAGGCGACCAATAGATCTTAAAAGAAATGTTGATGAAAGAATCTCTGTGAGATGGGTAAACATCAGTAGTCCATTCTCTTTGAAATCTTTTCTTGATATGGTGATTGCTATTTTGTGAAATTGTATGCTTTGTATCTTTGTAAATATCGTGGCAATGAAGATTCCAGACTAAATTAAAATATCTTGATAGTCTGGAATGCTTTAGTAAATTGCTTTTGGAGAGTTTATATTACTCTGATCTATTATGGTTCCTTCTGTGAATCATAAGGGTATTTGCAAATATTTAATAAATTTTTATCTAACTTCTTTAGAGCCTCTCAGATGACGAGGCTATTTATGTCTTCCCACATCCAAACAACAATACACTATGTTGCCATCGACAAACTAATTTAGTTGGATTATATTCTTTTGCTTATAGTAATTTAATTTCAGTTGCTCCTCTGTTCTGATGTTGGAAGGCAAACTCAAGTTGAAGCTTTGAGATAGTATATATGGATTCTTACAGGATGTTTTTCTCCTTAATGATCTTATTCAATTCTGTGTCACAGGCCTTCAGGAAACATAGTGAAGGAAATGTTAGGGATATATTGGACCCACTCCTAGAGGAGAAAATTGACGATGAGATAGTCAGCAAGATGCTTGATCTGGCATTTGAATGTGCTGCTCCAACACGTGCCGATCGTCCTGCTATGAAAGAGGTTGGAGAACAGCTATGGGAAATAAGAAAAGAATATGGCAAAAGCCTGAGGAGAATGGAGGAAGCTTTGCTCCAGTGAAGGCAGGATGATACAGTTTGTTGCTGAAGGATTTCTGCTGTCCATGTCTTTGATCCCTGGATGAGGTTCTACTTCAAGCTCTCTTTCTCCCTTGTGCCCTGCAAATTGCTGTACAACCAAGATTATTCGTTTCCGATCGTACTAGGGACCAGCGTATTCGATAGGAATTGTTATTCTCTACTATCTTAAGTAGACCTGTTTACCGCATACAACAAAACCTATTCTTGTTGCATATTTTGATCAGATTGTGAATCGTGCATGTTCATCCTACTGCCTTGGGATGAATAATATTTGTTCTCGGAGATTTGTCCATTGTTTGTTGTGCTGTAGTCTGGAAGCCATCTAGTTTGAGTATACTGTTCTGGTAAATGTAATATATGATGTGGTTGTAACAGTTTTGGACTTCATTTTCAATTAAATGATGAACCTTTTCATGATTAACCTCTTGAGGTATGTGAAATCAAATGGTTATCCTGACGGTTAAAACGAGATTCAACTGGTACAAGGTAAAGTTAAATGCTTAATAGAGGTGATGGTAGTGAGTGAGTTTTATGTAATATATGCTGTGGTTGTTTGTATTGTAACACTTTTGGACTTCATTTTCAATTAAATGATGAACCTTTTCATGATTATCCTGTAGGTTAAAATGAGATTCAACTGATGCAGGGTAAAGTTAAATGCTTAATCGTGGTGATGGTAGTGAGTGAGTTTTTCAATGTATATCTATTTGAAATAACCTGTTACCACTTGAAAACCAATCAGATTCAAATTAAAGAAGATAAAAGAGAAAAAAGGAGTATCTTTAGTTCTATTAGTAGACAAATCATCTGAAGACTCAGAACTGGGAAATTCTCATTTTTCGCTCTTTTCTTCCTTGATTATAGGAAAATTGTTTATGGTAGTATCAGTCACTAATTTTTCAGATTACCATTAGTTAGCAGCCCTCATGAAATTAGGCAAGTAGTTGGCTGATTTAGTTTAATTTAGATTGTCAATGTTCTAGTAACAAAAACAACAATGCTTGCATTGATTCTCTCCGGATCTTGTATTGCATTAGTTGCTCCTCCTTTCTTTCTTTCCCTCTCTATTAACCTAATCTATCTAATGAAAGATTTACTGTGGTTGCACTAGTGGTCAGAATTTGATCCTCAGTTGATTTGATGGGAAACTAACCCAATATAATTGTCATTAGAAACCCATAAAGGGAAAGCAGTGCTAAAAGCAAAAAGCCTAAGAATTTGATTCAGGGGATATAGTATGCTTTCAATAGATATGCTTGTCATTTTCCAACAGCATTGTCACTTTGATGCATCTCATTCATGACCCCCAAATCCTTCCAGCTATCTCATGGCTCATTCAAAATAAGATTTTATTTGATCATGATTCAAGGAATGATAAGGATTCTGTAGACAGAGAAGCAGCAGTTTAAGGCATAATTCATGGAACATTGGCAGAGGTGCTGGGATACTGAATTAAATAAAGTCTTTTGAGTTAAGATGATGCAATGGAGATCTAGAAATGGAATCTGAGTCCATGTGTCTCCAAGGAGTGACTCTTGGGGGAGACTACAGGACTGTCAAGCTACAAGAAAGAAACAGCTATGAGAACCAGTTTGAAGAAAGAGTAATGCTGAAAGCACAAGTTTATGATGGAATCTTATTCGGAAAGATGTAGGATGTTTTCCAGGTGTTTGCTTAGCCCTCCACCTCCTGATGACAGCATGACACATCAAAAGCAACAACAGATTCTTGAAAGGATGGTCTTTGTGAGAGATGACATATGTTCCACATATAACAATTCTCACACCAACATGTGTAAATGACATTCTCACATTGATGCACTGTTAGTTCCTGTTATTTATCTGGACAATATTGATTGACTTGATTCCAACATGTAAACAAAATGTAAATCAATTGAGTATATTGTGTGGAATACTGTAAATGGATTGGCATCTGTAATTATATGATGGCTACAGAAACCTACATAAAGCTGCACAAAGATCTGATACATGTTCTGTTTGTATTTTGAGTGAGAAGCATCTGATGCATGTTTATATCCAGAGACAGGGAAAGGAACTACCTTGGGATGCAGAAATATACTCCATTAATGCTGAAGATGAAGGCTGTGTTGGTCAGAGGTTTCCTAGTCCCAAGGTATAAAGACATTTATTCATGAAATATTTCTTTCATATTTATTATGCAACAATGCAAATATTTTTATATTTGACAAAAAAAAAAAAATACAAAGGAACACTATCCTCTCTCCCATTTCCCCTTTGATCACTCTCCCTTATTCCGATCTTCAACTACGCGACTCCTTAGTACCCGTAGGGGTACCTAAGCCGTGGTTGGATTCGATGATCTGCCTCCAATCAGCAGGCAGGTAGGTGTCGCGGTAATCGACGGATTGGATAGAAGAAGCAATTTTTTGGTCAGTGATTAATTGCTGATTAATAGTCGCTTTATCATTATCTTAAGTTTGCGGTGCGCGTCAGGTGATCCTCAGGACCATCTAAGACAACACGATTTGTTCTCTCATTGGCTAGTGGGGTATCCCAAGTCGCCCCGGAACCCATGGCGGAAAGGTTAGCCGCGGTTAAGATTACCGAAACTTCCTACAATGCCCCCTCATCTTTGGGCAAAATGGGGAACAAATATCCGAAATTTGATCCTCGAACGCCCTTCCCATATTAGCCAAACTCTCTCTCTTCCCTTTATATTTGGGCTACCGAACGCCAGTCTCAGTGCAAGCGACCGAGAGCTCGGACATCATCGCGTTCGGCTCTGACGTGTTCCGAGCTTTCTGAGAGAGGAGCTTTGCCTCCGTCTTCTGGTGAGCTGTTCGGGAGAAATCCGGCAATGAGGGTGGCGATGATGTCTGATCTGCTGACGGAGGTCCTGATCCCCGTGGCCTCCGTCGTTGGGATCTTCTTCTCGCTGCTGCAGTGGTACTTCGTGTCCAAGGTAAAGCTGTCGCCAGAGAGGCAAACGCGCGGGGCGCACGATCACGGTAAGAACGGGTACTCGGACCGCCTCATCGAGGAGGAGGAGGGGATTAACGATCACAACGTGGTCGTGAAGTGTGCGGAGATCCAGAACGCCATTTCGGAAGGTGAGAACTTTGACAGAACCCGTCTCTGGACCTCATTTTACGCTTGCTTATCCCATGGCGATTTGATTCCTAGTTGTCCTCCTTGTATTCCACTTGTTGTCGATAAAATCAATACTGCTGCGTTCTGCTTCATGTCTTTGTTCTTCATCACTATATTTAAGTTAATTATAAGGAAAAAAATAGTCTTTTCATTTGATTCTACTTTGCTAGGTTTATGGAATACGGGAGTACAGTAGTTCTTTTTACAGTTTGGCAATGCCCTAGAGGATCTTTCTAATAAGCTAACTAAGTATTGAGTAATTGGAGTTTCAATCTATTCTTCTCATTTTGTCACTTGCATTTTGCAAAATTATACTTTGATAATGCACTAAAGGATCTCGATTAGTAAGTTGGAGAAGTTGATGTGGTAGAAATGTTCGCAATCTCTTTTAGATTATTACTTCATGTAACTCATGTGACAGATATGAATTCTGTCATCATTTATACGCAAGTATAGGCTTCCGGCTATTTCACTTTGTAGTCTCATGTTTATATCAGTATTGCATTCTGGTACAGTTTGATTCTGATTTTGTATCTTCTTTTTGAGGAAAAAACAATTTTCGTATTCCTTTATTATATTCATCAGCTTAAGTTTTGTGGTTGTATTTGTTTGTGGTATAAGCATTTCTTTCTTTTTATCCTTTGGTAATATGGTCTACAGAGAAAATTATATGTATTTTGGTCTGTTCAAGGAAATAAATAGCCACTTGTTTGTGGTCCTTATGATTGTTCTCTTTTTATATTTTGCCTCTAAATGACGGATAATTTCTGTTTTGATACTTCATTTTGTTCAAATAAATAATTTACCTCATTGAGGTTGTTAATGCTCATAATACAATATTGACTAGTTAGCTTAGCAATATACCACAAAGAAGGGGTGGTTTTCTTTAATTGTAAGTGTCATATACGACATACTTATGTTAAACGACAGACTGTCTCTTAGTGATCTCTGTTCCTTCTTTTTTTTTATCACTATATTCTTTCTGTAATACTGAGCACATATAAAATTACATCTGATTTTATTTGTGCATCATGGCTCCCACAAATTCTTGTGCTCTTGTATCTTGGAAGCATCATCTCTTGGCAGATCCTTTCTGTTTGGTAACCCATCTGATCTTTGGACGGTGTTGAAGTCTGGTCAGGAAATTTCAATAAATATGACATGATATCTGAAGTTGAGTTTTCAAGTAAAACATCAAACGATGCCGTATACTTTGGCCAGTCAAATGGATGAAGAGCTTTGAGTAGTTATGTATACACACAAGTATATAATTATTAGCAATCAGTAACTTTTATAAGGGTCATAATAATGGTGAACTCTGTCCTATGGCTGGAGAATTTGGTTCTGTTTATTACTGTGTTTATAAATATACACACACAAGTATGCCAATGATCATTAGTTAGAAGATACATATTGCAAGTTCACCCTTAGTTTCCTTATGATGTGATCTTGACTGATGCTGGATGCATCAATTTGTGCCATTTATCTTTTCCATGCTTTGTATTTGTAATGGTTCTAAGAAAGATGATACTATGAGCATGCACTATGGCATCTAGGATTTGACATCTTATCCACTGAACAGGAGCTACATCGTTTCTCTTTACGGAGTATAAGTATGTTGGAATCTTCATGGTTGTTTTTGCAATCCTGATCTTCCTCTTTCTCGGATCAGTGGAGGGTTTCAGCACGAAGAGCCAGCCCTGCACTTACAGCAAGGATAGAACATGCAAGCCAGCTCTTGCTAATGCTATTTTTAGCACTCTATCCTTCTTGCTTGGTGCAGTAACCTCCATTGTTTCTGGTTTCCTTGGAATGAAGATTGCAACTTATGCAAATGCCAGGACCACTTTAGAAGCCAGGAAAGGTGTTGGAAAAGCATTCATTGCTGCATTTCGCTCGGGTGCAGTTATGGGATTTTTGCTTGCTGCCAATGGTCTTCTTGTACTTTACATTGCAATCAACATCTTTAAGTTATACTATGGGGATGACTGGGAAGGCCTCTTTGAGGCTATTACTGGTTATGGCCTAGGTGGCTCTTCCATGGCACTTTTTGGAAGAGTAGGTGGAGGCATCTATACCAAAGCTGCTGATGTTGGTGCTGATCTTGTTGGAAAGGTCGAGAGAAATATTCCTGAGGATGACCCTAGGAACCCAGCTGTAAGAATTTTGCCATTTCTGATGAACATGTTTATTTTACCTTTCTACTGCATATCAGATTATCACCTTGTAAATTTTACTGCAAACTTGTTGTACTTGGTCAAAATTATTGTTTTTTTGATACTCTATTGTTGTACTTGGTCAAAATTATTGTTTTTTGATACTCTACATTCTTTTGTCTCCATATGTTTCAGTGCCTAACACAACATATTTGTACAGGTAATTGCTGATAATGTTGGTGATAATGTTGGGGACATTGCTGGTATGGGATCAGATCTTTTTGGCTCATATGCTGAGTCTTCCTGTGCCGCACTTGTCGTTGCCTCAATTTCGTCATTTGGTATCAATCATGAGCTGACTGCAATGTTGTACCCCTTGCTTATTAGCTCCATGGGAATTATAGTTTGTTTGGTTACTACTCTGTTTGCCACCGACTTCTTTGAGATAAAGGCGGTGAAGGAGATTGAACCTGCACTGAAGAGGCAGCTCATAATCTCCACTGCTCTTATGACTGTGGGCATTGCAATTGTTAGTTTCATAGCCCTCCCATCAACCTTCACAATCTTTAATTTTGGTGCCCAGAAGGTGGTGAAGAACTGGTGAGAAATTTATATATCTGTAAATTTGTAAATTAAGTTTGGCTTCTTATTGCCATAAGTTGGATTGGTAGGGAGCTATTCTTCTGTGTGGCAATCGGTTTGTGGTCTGGCCTGGTCATCGGTTTTGTCACCGAGTACTACACAAGCAATGCTTACAGGTATAGGTAGCAAATGTATCTTCTTTTCCGACATCTTCCTTTACTTCTTTAGCTTTAACTTGTTTTGCTTTGCAGCCCTGTCCAAGATGTTGCTGATTCCTGCAAAACAGGAGCTGCTACCAATGTTATCTTTGGCCTGGCTTTGGGATACAAATCTGTCATCATCCCCATATTTGCTATTGCTGTCAGCATTTTTGTTAGTTTTAGTTTCGCTGCCATGTATGGTATTGCAGTTGCTGCTCTTGGAATGCTGAGCACCATAGCTACTGGACTTGCTATAGATGCCTATGGCCCCATCAGTGACAATGCTGGAGGTATTGCAGAGATGGCTGGAATGAGCCATAAAATCCGTGAGAGAACTGATGCTCTGGATGCTGCAGGAAACACCACAGCTGCAATTGGAAAGGTAACAAAGCTGACTATTATCCTGCTTTTTTCTTATCATTAAATGTCTATTTTTCTTCCTAATCTCCTAAATATTTGATAAAAGATTGGAAATGTTGTAGATCAAGTGTCTTTCTGAATTAATTGCAACTGTTTGATTTTGACATAGAGATATGCACAAATTCAAAGAATTTAGTGCTTTGGATGGCTTTGCTTTGCACCATCCCACACAATTTTTGCTGTTATGAATTTGAGTAGAAAAAGAAGTGGATGTTTGAATTTGATGAATATGGTGCTCTGAAATGGTATGATCACCATTTAGCAGGTCATCTATCGATATAAAATTGCATGAAGTTTAAAATGAAAGCCTATCTCTGGAATTTGCAGCCAGTTTCGTTATTCATGTGCTTTTTGCATGCAATTCCCTTGTACATGAGTAGTAATCATAAATGAAGTTGGAATATGTCTGCATATTTTTGTATATCTATGCATCTCGATCGATCATCACATACACAGAAACATGTAATTGGTATCCTCGATCCTTTTTCTGTGTTTGCCAGAACTTGTCATCTCTTGATGCATAAACTTAGCTACTCTCCCTACTTCCTTTCCAGGGTTTTGCCATTGGTTCAGCTGCTTTGGTGTCCCTTGCTCTTTTTGGTGCCTTTGTGAGTCGTGCAGCAATCTCGACGGTGGATGTTCTGACACCCAAAGTCTTCATTGGTCTGATCATCGGCGCCATGCTTCCCTACTGGTTCTCAGCCATGACCATGAAGAGTGTAGGCAGTGCAGCTCTCAAGATGGTGCAGGAAGTCCGCAGGCAATTCAACAGCATTCCCGGTCTCATGGAGGGATCTGCCAAGCCAGATTATGCAACCTGCGTCAAGATCTCAACCGATGCCTCCATCAAAGAGATGATTCCTCCCGGTGCTCTGGTGATGCTCACCCCGCTCGTCGTGGGAACCTTCTTCGGCGTCGAAACTCTATCAGGAGTGCTTGCGGGCTCTCTTGTTTCAGGAGTTCAGGTACAACAAATGTTTCGATGTCTTATTTATGTTCATCCAAGCTTCTTGATCATACTCGCTGATCTTTAATTCAATTATGTATCTTTGGAAGATTGCTATCTCGGCATCGAACACTGGTGGCGCATGGGATAATGCAAAGAAGTACATCGAGGTAAAGCTTTTCATGAAGATGTGAACTCTGAACTCCTGCATGGAATCTGTGATCAACCAAAGCATCATGAGTCTGTGCTACTAATGTGTCTCTGTTGGTCAGGCTGGGGCTTCAGACCAAGCCAGGGGGCTTGGACCTAAAGGATCAGATGCTCACAAGGCCGCTGTGATCGGTGACACCATAGGGGATCCACTCAAAGACACATCAGGGCCATCACTCAACATCCTCATCAAGCTCATGGCAGTGGAGTCACTGGTGTTTGCTCCCTTCTTTGCCACTCACGGAGGTCTCCTCTTCAAGATCTTCTGGAATGGAAAGTAGACATAGTTTCCTTCCAGTCATACCTACATTACCTAATCTCCCCCTTTGGAAAGGGATAGTTTATGCCTCTTTTTCCAGTTATAAGGGACTCGGGATTGTCGTCGAGTCCTGGTTGCTGAAAGAACAGCCAGTTTCTCCCTTTGTTAGGCTTTATTTTGATGAGGATAATAATGATGACAATCCTAAATTATATGCAGTTCATGTTCCTAGCCTTTTGTGCTGATTGATATACCTATTCATGTTGCTTGATTCATTAAGCAGATGGAGATCGTGCAAGAGTGGAAGAAAAGAGTTACTTGAGTTTACATTACATAACACGGGTATTAATACAAACATCGATGATTACACTGTTTGCATTATTTTCTTTGATTTTTATTTTAAACAAGTTTGGAGTTTACATTATAAGTTTGGGTTATTAAGTTTCAATATCATTTTATCTTGACATTTAACTCATGTCAAGTTCTTGAGTTTTCAACACCATTGTATGCAGTTTTGCCAGGAAAGAAAGAAAACAATGGTTGTTGCATTTATGATACTCCAACCTTGTTGCTGCTATTGTTACTGCTTTCCTCAGCTTGCTGCTTGATAATGGCTGTAAGAGATTAAAGAGTAAACTCAGGAGTAGTCAAAGAATACTGAAAATGAAATGAGCCTCCAATATATCCAATGTCAGCTAGCAGTATTATGTTTAAGATTAAAACACACTGAGCAAAGTTCATTCACAGGAAGTCATCCCTCCTTTACCCTAATCCTATGAAGAAGCTACTCCCCAAGTACAAAGCCCTAGTGTCTAACCAACACTAGCCAAAATGAAACAAACTACGATGACCCGATGTAACATCCGCTGCCTCACTTTCTCTTCTTGGTAGGTGGCTGCGGGAGTTCCTCCTCTTCCTCCTCATCCTCCTCGTCTTCGTCCTCTTCCTCATCCTCCTCTTCCTCTTCATCATCGTCGTCGTCATCTTCTTCATCTTCACTTCCCCCTTCACCATTGACCTCAGGGTCATCGTCGTCGTTATCGTCTCCTTGGTTATCATTCCCCTCCTCTCCCGAGAGATCATCTTCGCCTCCGTCTTCTTGGCCAGCTCCATCATCGCCATTGTCATCCTCATCCTCGTCCTCATCTGACTCGCCATCGTCCTTATTCTCGAGCATGGCTTCAGGTTTACTTCTTTGAAGTGTCCTTTAGAGAAATAGCACAGAATAAGAGCCTCGATGGCAAACTAAGCCAACTCTATACATGTAAACTAGCTGGTTCAAAACCCAGACTCTGCCAAGCAAGCATGTACCATCAAGGTCTGATTGAAATGTATAATTGCTTTCACCTTTAACTAGGTAGATAGAAAGAGAAGAGCAACCTACTGGTAAATTACTTCAGACTCATCATTCACTGGACCAATTTGACTTGATGAAGAGCCCACCTGAATCAAGTTCAATTTTAAGTGACCAAATATAAGAAACCACTTAGCATGAAGGAAACATGAAACTGATACTTGAACAAACAATTTGTTCAATTTTGATGATCATTTGTTCGTACTAATCAGGCTAGGTAAAACAGAAAGCAAATCCAGAATTTCTCACAAAGCATTCGACCACAACCAACCAAAATGGCAGAAACAATTGTCCTCTGATCTTGAATCAGCCATCATGTGATAATGCTAGGGTTTGGAACAATATAAACAACAAATGTAGCTCAAGAGAACTCCTCGGTTTGCTGAAATTAAAGAGACACAAAAATATGAACATAGTTACATCCCATCTATAGTTTGGATATGCTAGTAACGGAGGCAGATCAAAGATACAAGGATATCAGTGGAGGCAATAAAAGAAATTAGCAATATGTGGGTCCAGGGATGGTCAACATATGCAGCTTTAACTCTGTGAGTAGATGGAATGTTTATGACTCAGAATCGGTCGGAAATTGCAAAAAAAAGATCTCATCATAGCATCAAGGCTCGCCCCTCATCAAAATGAAAAAAATGTACATCAACAAATCAAATTGATAATGCCAAAGACAGACAGACTAGTCTGGTAAATGGACAAACAGTATAAAGAAAGAAAAGTAAAGGAACTGTAGCAATGAGAACCTCCAAAAGACAACACCTCCAACAACAAATCCTGAAGCTAATCAGACAAACAAAGGGGAAAGAAATCGGACAGCACAATTATTTGTTAATGCTCGACCATGAGTGATATATATAAGCAATCCATTGCAAATTTCTCTCCCTTGAAATAGACACATTTATAGACATGCATACACATATAACTCCATGCAGCATTTAAGATGTATATTACTGTCGCTACCACTAACGCAAGAGTAGCGGAGTTTCACCACATGAAAACCATGCTTTCTATGACAATTCAAGCCCATGAGACATATCCTTCTTTAGATTGGCCCAGTTATAGGACTCTCATACTAGGATTGGAACATCCAAGTAGACATAAATGCGTTAAAGGGACTCTTCAATGCACATATAATGGTCCAACATGTAAGTTTGCCACTCTCGAAGATGCACAAACAAGTCACGCTCTTCAAATAGTCAGACCCCATTATTATGTGTTCTTAATTTACAGTAAGAGATTAAGACAGAGAGAAACTTCCTTGTGCATTTGCAACCAAGAATAGGTTCCTCTATTTCAGGTAAGTGCAAGCAACCTTAGAATAGGATCAGGAAGTTATTGGATAGTGCCAGTTTGTCAAAAAGACAAGAAACAGCAAAGTAGTTTCAGTTTCAAAAACCTCAAACTATCCATGTATTGACAAATATCATACAAGCATGGTCAATTATAGAGTCCACAAAGAGTTCCTATGTGCTATAGTTCAGATCTCATGGAATAAGTTAAATGTGCCTTCAAAACAAAGAGAAAACAAGAATCCCTGAAGATCTTTCTGAGGATGAACACGGCCAGTTCCACCATTAGGTTAAGATGGGGAGGAAATAAATACATGGTATCAAGATCCTTTTAGTAACTTGTCTATATTAAACACTTCAATGAACATCCTGACTCACAGCAAGATTTTTACACTTAACAATGATCAAGTACTTTCTTATTGTTACATTGGATTCTCTTATCTACACTAAATATTCAACACTGGACAAATATGCACTAGAACGTGCACTGTGGTGACTAAGATGGTCAAGAAAACAAGAGTAAGCCATACAACAGTAACAAACATGAAACAGAAGAAAACAACCGAAAGAAATAGAATATGGAAGATTTTTTCCTTCAAATCAAATCTCAAGAGCTGAAGCAGACGAGAAAAGGAAAGTTAACCGAGGAAAAGAATTTATCTCCAGAACCTATAAGTGGCTAAACACATACAAAAGCTGGACATCACATGGAAGGCCATACACAGGCATTTTAGGTCTAAACAACGGGCGAAGCCGAATGTCATGCAAGAATCTCTGAGTAATACGACTCAACACCAAAGAAGACATGCCACACATGATTAAGCACCGAAAGAAAGCTAAAATCCTCGCTACTTGTGTAGCTCAGCACCAAGGAACTCTACACAATTCTTCGATCAGCAAATTATCAACTTCAATACGTTACTAAGAAATAGCGAAAGCAGGAAATAAAATAAAAAACGGGAGGAACGTCCGTACCGCCAAGAAAAGCCAAAGGAGCGACCTTTCCACAGCCAAAACGGTCTCCGCCACGAGTAATTCGGCCATGGAATGAAGATCAGCAGGTCCATTACTCTTGCTTCGGCACAGCGCCTCCATCTCTACAGACCAAGCACCAAAATCCATAAATACCAGCCAAAAAGAGAGAAAAAAAAAACAACGGAAAAAGAAGACTGAGAACCACGGCCCTAGCTGAGTGGAGAAACGGAGCTAAACACCGACTCATAAATAGAAAGAGGAGGAGGAGGAGGAGGAGGATGACGAGGAGAATCCAACCAGGGTCGAAGAGGAGAGAAGGGGGCAAAGGGAGAGCGCTTTCGACGCGATGCTACAGCGCAAGATCTCGCCGGGAGATCCAGAAACACCAAAAAGGGGGTTTTCTGATTAGGGTTTTGGCCCATCGGGGCCTCGATTGGGATCCTCTGCAAGTGGTGGCACGTGTTTGTCTGGGACCCGTGGCAGTTTTCCAGGGGCCCGCATCATTGTACTGTTCCCGTGTGGAATTGTAAGATCCCATACGCAACAAAATTTGGAAAGGATCCGATCGAAGGCATTGGCTTTGTGTCTAGTGGGATTGGATGAAATCCAACCTCATCCTATCCAGTAAAAATTCTCGTTATAATATATCGATTTAGCAACACAGAAAATACAATCAATCATTTCTTACACATAAAACATTTTCTTGAGTAATATTTTTTTTCTCTCATTAACAATAATCTGCAATAATAACATCTAAACCATAGATAGTGTTGGATAAATTAAGATATCACTGTCACATAAAATTAATATTAGCCTTTTTTATGCCATTAATTGTTGCCGACCACAGACAGTATTAATGGTGGAAGGTTAATGAATGCCATGGGACCATCTCGTTTATGGAGTCGGTCATCTGCTGCCGACTCTTCCGTCACGGAAACCAGCAACATAGATGAAGAAAGATCATCTCACAGAGTGGCTTAATTCTGACTCCAAATCCATCTTGAAACCATAAACAAGCTCAGAAGTTGATGAAGAAATGATCAGATCACCAAAATATGAGCAGAAGAAGTAAGTATGATCATATTCATGGATGGATCCACTGAGTCTTATATGATCAGGCTGTAAAAATGCTGCCTGCATACATGCATGAACATACATCCACATCTAAGCAAGATTAGGCTCATACGGGGCATCAAGCCACCGCCACTGCTCCCCGGCCATCACCTTTCATCAGGAAGAACCTTGAAGGCTTGGGCTGGAAGTGCCTCCTCCTGCGGAGATCATGGCTCGACGGTCGTATCATCTGCATGAGGAGGCCGCCCATCGACGTCGCCTTCGCTGGTCCCTTCGTCTCCGGCGATCCCGCGTGCGCCACTGATCGGCCGGAACTCTTTCTCGGGCCACGGTGGAGCTTGCACCGGAAGGAACCCGGGTGCGTCGTCGGCGAACAGAGGCAGGGCCGAGAAGGGCTGTGGGGCTTGGATGAAGAAGAAGAAGCAGAATTCTTGGAATCCATGGAAGGAGGTCTTGAGGTGGAGGTGGTGATCCTCTTGGGGCGTCCATGGCTTCGAGGAAGAATACTAAATACGGTCGCTTTGCTTTGTTGGCTAAGCAGTTCTACGCGTGTGACCCGCTGTCAACACTTGTTGAGCCGCCGTGCTTTGGAGATTCACCATGAAAGCTAACCTTTAGCGATGGGGTTGACTCTATGTGACACTTGTTTGATATGGGAGAAGGACGAGTGGCTGCAGGCTCTCCTCGGAAGGACTACCGACATGAAGGAAGAAGAAGAATCCAGGAGATGGATCTTTTCATCTCCAATCGACACTTTGTGCCGTAGGTTTCTTTGGACTGAGCCAATCCTTCTTCCTGAGGTAATCCTCTCTCTGGCAAGCCACAGGTGTGTGGCTCGTGGTTTTGGTCAAATTGGTCTCGTCAGACTGACCCATTCTCACAAAGATCTAACCGGTCATTGATACAGGCAGCTGTACTTACAATAAACAACATACAAAGCAATACTAGTGGAAGAAAAGAGTCAATATCTTCTGTTTGACCGAGACATCACAGGAAGAACAGCGTCATCTTCCTGATCTCGGAGTTCCCAGTAGATATTTCTCTTGCAGGTGCAGTTGTTCGTGGTCGGATCGAGCCAGAAGCTGCTTGTTACGCTTGCGATGCCACCTCGCGCGGGCGTAGATGACCCAGAGAACCATAGACAGCATCACCGCCGCTGAGGCCATGGCCAAGCCGATGAAGACCTGTTTGCTGTAACGCCCCAGGCCGGGGCAGTGGTCGAGGGTGATGGACCGGAAGGTCTGCCGCACGAAGGTGCAGTCCGCTAGCCCTGCGAGGAACGGCCCGTACTGGTACAGGCCGTGGCTCACGTTCACTGCTGCCATCATCTGTGCGTAGATCTTGGGAGTAATGCGACCGACGGTGGCGCAGATGTCGGATCCATTGACCACTGTGACTCGGCACACGTAGCTGCGCCATACCTGCACGAGAAGAATGGTGGTTCTTGTGGGGTCAGTGATGATGATTGTGACGGTCGGATCGCGAATGAGTTCATAAGGTCGTACCTGAGAGACGTTGTTGAACCCTAATTCTCCGGTGGTGCAGTTGCGGCTGCCGAGGTCTGGGTCGTACGGGTTGCAGAGAGGAGGCAACAGGGGACCGGACTGGTTGTAGTAGAGAGGCTTGAGCATGGGTGGGAAGTCGGCGTTGGAGACGTTGGTGATCACCTGGTTGACGACGTTCACCAGCTGAAAGGTGACCTCCCTGCTTCGCCTCAGAGACGCGTTAGTGGTGGCGACGTCCACGCAAGGGAGGATGTCGTCCATGGCCGTGTGCTCGCGGGGGTGAAGAGCCCATTCATCCATCGAGACGCAAGTGTCCGCCACTGCACTGATAAGGTAGAACACGAGTTATGGCAGTCAGAGACACCATCTCTAATCTATCAGATAAGGTCGGCACTGACTTGTGGAGGAGGAGGAAGAGGCCGCTCAAGAAGAAGGTTGCTGCCACCAGCACCCATCCAACGAGGACGAATCTGAAGCCCCAAAGCCATGGAAATGATGAGGAAACTAAGCGAGACGATGTTGGGGGACAAGCAGAGTGCACAGTTGCTTACATGTAGACGAGAAATTGCAGTCCAAGAATCGAAAATGCTGCATTAATTGCAGAAAAATGTGATCGAGTTAGCCAATGTGACGACAACTACAGAAGTCTATGCATTTCCACTTACTTAATCCGAGAAGAACCAGAAGGAGCACTGCAGCCACGAGGATGATCAACACAAGACGCCTGCAGAAAGGAGCACGAGCCATCTCGCTCAAGGAAACGCACAAGATGCAGAAAGCAAATGAACAAACACCTCATACACAGTATCCAAGTAGTCTCGGATCCTCTTGGAATTGTCCGCTGTGCGAGAGGAAACGCCGTCCGCGGCGTCGTTGAGACTTTTCACGACTGCGTCGATCGCGGCCTGCTCGTCGGCCGGAAGGGAGATCTGACCCACCCCGACCTTCTTAGCGTCGGCCAGGTTGGTGGAGAAGCTCCTAAGGTTGGAGACGGTGGTGTTCGACTGGCCCTCGACGAAATCCAAGGTGTTCGACGTGGTTCCATGGAACTTATCCTGTCCATGGAACAGAACAACGCATCCGACTCTGTATGCAACGCAAGAAGAAGAGCATGTGGTGACGCCAGTCCAAAGTGAGGGCTAATGCAGCAAGTCTTGGATCAGCAAGCTCACATTGTGGCAGCAGTGCACAGGATGAGAAGTGCGACGGCGAGAGCGCAAGTTGTGCGGGAGAAGGAACAACTGCGTCGGGGGAAGCAGCAGTAGCAGCAACAAATCAAAGACAAGACCAGAGCGAAGCCGAAGAACCAGACGGCGGCGACGGCGAAGAGAGGAGCAGCAGTGAAGCCGACGGACTGGCATCAACAATTGCCTGTCAGGAATTAGATGAAGCGGTGGATTGGTGAGGAGAACTCACGGCCCAGTAGTGCAGATCGCTGATGTTCCAGCCACCATTGTAGAGTTTGAATCCGTTTAAAGGATCTCTTCTTCGAGTCCTCTCTGCGGCCAAGACGAAGGACGTGTTCTCCACGAGGATTCGAGCAGGTGAATTGGCGGATCTCCTTGGCGAAATCAAAAAGACGTCCTCTGCTGCTCCTACAAATCGCATCTCGTAAGCCACATGCAAAACCAAATCTTTCTACAAAATTCTTGATATTTAGTGTTTCAATTCGCATAAATGCACAAAAAGATGGCCTCTTTTGCCAACAAGATGTACTAAGATACATAAAAATTGAGCCTTCCTTATCAAAATGTGGTTCTTCGATCACAGTGCAAGAAGCTTCATTTGGCGATAACAGAGATTTCTGCACTCTGTAGACGAAGGTGTTGTTCTAAGAATCACATATTTCAAAGCAATGTTCTTTGTCGGACGACAAAAATCCACAAGCAAAACCAAATCTTTCTACAAAATTCTTGCCACTGCAACTACCGGGAATGAAATTAAGCGTTTCAATTCCCAGAAAGAGGCAAAAAAAAGTAGCCTCTTTTTTCAGATATAATGATCCAATTCACAACAAGATGAACTAAAACATAAGAAAAGGACGCTTCATTTGGCAGAAACAGAAATTTCTGCACTCGAAGAATCACATCCTTCAAATCAATAATTTTTGGAGGAAATCCCAGAAATACGCAAAAGAGAGGATCCTTCCGCAGATTCATCGGTCCAATTCCGAGCAAAACATTCTAGATCATATAAAAATCAGATCTTTTACATCAAATCATTTTCCTTTCATCAAAACACAAGAAAGAACACACGGAAAAAGAAAAGCCTTGTTGTTGTTGTCATGGAAATAACATCTTTCTGTGGACAAACGGTGTTCTGAACTGATAACATTCATCTCCCATATAGAAAAAAGAGCATTTTTGTCGTATGATCAAGAAGCAATAGAACCTGAAACTGGTGTTTCTTGCAGTCCCGCAACGGCAGAATGCAGAGAAATGGTGGCGAACATCAAAATCGCCTGAGCTCTACCGAACGCCATCATGCCTTCCGACTCCTAACAGGGAGAAGAATCTACTGAACTCGAAAGATAAGGAAGCAGATCATGTGAAACAACCGCTCACGCACTTTGACTCCAAGTTCTCCGATCAAACTATTAGTGGGAATGAAGTAGTAATAATGGAAGAGATGACTTCATCGAGTCGTCGGGGAGTAGATATCTCCACTTGGGGATTCGAAAGCTTCACTTACCATATATATATATATATATATATATATATATATATATATATATATATATATATATATATATATATATATATATATATATATATATATATAT